CCCATGTCCCGCTCCTTCCATTTCTGCGCGCGCCACGGAGCTTCACTCATGTGATAACCGTACCGAGGGGGATTGACCCCCCGGTTTCGCGGGTCCACCGTGACCCCGTCAGATCAACAGCGAATTCGCATTACCTACGTACGCACGCCGTCCCTCTAATGGAGTCACGCGCACTCGAACGATGGGGGGTCATTTCGTCGATCGAGTCATTAAATAATCCATCAGCGTCTCATCAACAAATAGCCGTTGCTGGCTAACGGCACGTCTGAGCCTCATCCTTGGCGGGCTTGTTCCCGGAAAGACTCACGAACGGAAACGGTCGTTTCTCCAAGTGGCCGGTCCTTATTTTCATGACTGTCCTGTCAGTTAACCGCATCGACGTCGCGCAACAAACCTTCGTTGCTCTTTTCTTCTCCATCAGGCCGAGTGCTTTCCATGACAACGTACTTCCCAGCTGCGATGTTCCGTACGACGTGCGAAGCGATGTTTTGGTTTTCAACGCCGCGCGAAGAAATAGCAGCAAGCTGATGTTACGTTTAAGATAATTGACGTGCTTTCAATTTTAATTGCGACTCTTTTTCTTACTTAATTCTCAGTCAATTGAGATAGTATTTTCAAGTTGGATATCATGCAACGCGTCGGTTTAGAACACGATGCCACTACCAACCGTCGCAGTGAAGATCCGCGATACTGTTCGATCGGTCGATCATACTTTTTTGTTAGCTCGACAAAGTCGACACAGTCTGAATCCCTCAAACGTTCTTACTCGCCCTCCATATCTCTTGGCGCGAATTTGCCGCGCACTTCGTACGAGCTTTACGAATTCTTCGTCACAGCTCTATCTCCGTCCCGACGTCTTTCTCTTTCTCGTTACGTAACGCCGAGATGCGCTTCTCCGCCAGATGTGCGTCTCCGCGCGGCGACGTCGCGACGCCGAGGCCCGACGTATCACGTTCGAAGTCCCGAACGATGACGGACATCGGTGCATCGAGCCACTTCCGGACTGGTCCCGGCATCCGGAATTCCGTACTCCGCGAGTTTGACAGCTTCCGCGGGCCGCGAAAAAGCGTGCCGGCCGTTTAGAGCCACCGGGCGAAACTAGTCGACGCGTGGCTACATCACTGCCGACGGTCTTTATCCCTACCGCGAGCTACCTCTTCTTCGTCCGCTTCTTCATCGCGCGTCACGAAACCACCGCCGCAGGTTTCTCTATCTCACTCTCGCCCTCGCGACTATTTAAATCCTTTGTAGTCCCTCGTGGTCTCGCGACGCCAGGACTGTACCCGTCGCGCTGGTGTTCGATGCATTTCTTTCTCAAAGTAGAAAATTGATTGGCGAGAGGAGCGGCATGCATAAAAATGTCTTAACAAAGTATTATTTTATAATTAAAAAATTTTTTTCACGATTGTGAAATGATCAATAATAAGTTTCATTGTTTTCATTGGCACTTTTAGAGCGCGCAGAGTAAATTATATGCCGTCAAAGATTTTGTAATGATTCTTTAGCTATGAATTCTCTGTCGGAACAGAGTAGAAATTAATTGACAAAGCTTGATACAAGAGACTCCAATTATCAATGAAAGAAAAATATATACTTTCGGCTTTGTAGAGTATAAGTTCCCGAGAAAAATTGCGCTATACGTAAATTCAGAATACTTTTACCGAGTTCCCAGATACAAATGTTTTCGCTTTTATCTCAGGTCTATTAGTTGACCCAAGTTATTCCGGCACTGACCGACGTCATTATACCTTTTGATGTTATTTTAGAAACGTCGCCGGAGGTGATATTATAAATTTCGCCATTTTATTGTCCGCCTTGACCGCGATATTACGTAAACGCCATAGTTTTGACCGAGAAAAAGACTTCTTGCCCTGACAAGTCTACATATTATTTCAGTTTATACGTTTGTATTAATTGTAAAGTCGCGCATGTGCATATGTACACTAAATGCGTCGATGATGTTGCCGTTAGAAATATACGATGTCCGACATAGATTTTTTTAGCGGTTACACTCTCAAGCGTATTTTCGGTTTCGTTCACTTTCCCCGGCAATTTATTTTCCGCGATTTAATATCGTTCGTCGTGAGAAGTGACATTGTCAGTTCTTGTGTTTAACATCATCAGTTTTCAAGTCCGACAGTGGCGCGATATTTTTGATATTGAAGAAATTCGGTGCGAACCCGAGGGATGATAAATTGTTCATTAGACTGGCGCCGTTTCTTCACGCGGCGATGTAATCTATCAAGAGGTTGAAAAAGGACTCAAAATAATCTCCGAGCTTGACGTAGGTGGCGTCTGGTTTTCCCATCGAGCGAGCATGAGACGGAAGCAGAAAAGGGAGAGAGTCCAAGATTGATCCAACAACTCACTTTGAACCCTCACGGCGTGCTGTCAGTTTTTCTAATCGTGAAGGATTTTCTTCGCACGCCACTTGAATGCGCCATGATAATCCGGCTGCATAATGTGTCGGAAGGGACAAAAAAGCTCGTGAGACGCTATCTTGATTCGACGAGAGTGTCAAGCATACCTTTTCTGTTTATATGCACCGGGTGGCCCTAAAGCGTTCCCAATTTCCACTTTGTAATTATGAAAACGTAACCGTATGATATTTAAACATTCGTAATTAGTTGTTGTCTTTGAATAAGTAATAACAAAATTTAAAAGAAGATAATTAGAATTTGTTAGACTTGCAACGTTTAATTTTATTGTCATTTCAATTAAAAATCGTCAATGAGTAATACAGCTCTTTGTGAAAATAATGTTGTAGCTGAGAGAAGCTGTAAAGTAACGTTGATTAATCTTTGATAGCATTAAGTGTATCAAAAGTATGCACTGCCTGCAACATATTTATAGTTAACATACTTATTTATTTGCGGCTTGACTCAAACGTTTATTAATAGTTGACGCAGCTCGGAATATTCGAGTTACCGATTGCTCCATCGATGGGAGACTAAAATCGAGATCGGTTTGACGTTCCAAGGATATTACGTGGGATAATAAGCGTGTAACTTTTTGGAGCCTGTACAGCGTCGACATCTGGATCCCGGGTTCTAAGAGAACAAACGCCACCCCGGAATATTTGCCAAAACAAAGCTTTTCTTGGCTCCTCGGGTAAATAAATCTCGAGGAAATCACGCAGACGCGCGATTCATACGTGCCGTCGTTGAAATTTTTTACACTAACGTCACACTCCCTCGTAACGTCGGCACATCCGGGAATGAAATTACATTCCTGGATTATAATCAAGGATAATAGGCAAAAGCTATACGATGACGTGTATATATACCCACCATTGTTAATTGAGCTTCCCTGAAGAAATGCGATTAATTGAGCAGCCGATTTCAACAGGCACTTGCGAGCTTTTCCGCGTTAGAATCCTCAATAGTCCGATAATTGGCAGAGAGTTTCACTTTTAGCCGATTAAATCCTTTTCTCTTAATTCTCGTTCAACTTGTAACTTCATTTCTACAGCTTATAAATTTACCGAATAACTTAATCAGTCACGTGGATTCGTCGTTGTTCACGTTTAGTTACAGCAAATCACCGATAAAGTTTTCTTCTTCCTCTTGACTTACCAGGGCACTGTTTCTTTTTACCGTTTGTCAAAATAAAGCAGCGTAATCGCACAATGGGAGTCAACGTTTCTTTACAAAGTGGAGCGCGAATACGTTTGGCGTCATCTCGGGCGCATTTAGCAACTGAGTCAAGTCTGCTGGATCGAGACCGCCGGTACTAGAAACTATGCTATTCGCTTACCCGACTGGACAAATTCAGCGTGTGCAGGCCAGGCCTCGAAAATAGTTCGCAGCAAGTTCGTACGGTGACTTCAATCTGATGCATGCACGTGTCTATTTGTAGATGACCGCGGCGCGATGCAATTTACCAGATCTGCCGTAGTCGCGCAATAAAATTTCCTGTGATTGTCACGTACATTTGACCTTTTGTTTGACATCACCCGCAATGACGAATTCATAATTAAAGCGAGATTAATGGTGTCCATTTAAAACCTTCCCTCAATTTCAGAGAGCACAGATTGCACCGAGCGAGTTTATTAAAACATCTACCAGTAGAGCACAAAAGTATTCAAATAATTCCATAATATATCTGTAAGAGAGGATACAAAGAGAGAGAGAGAGAGAGAGAGACAGAGCAATAACTGTACAAGAGTGTCCAATTAAATTTTGATGACACGTTCTCAGATAAATTTCGAATCCATTTTTTATTAGAAACATTGTATAACTTTGTATATCATCAAGATACTAGATTCTTTCTCATCGCGACACATTTGCCAACTTTAATAGAATAACAAAAGTTTGAAATTCTCGCTCTTCCGTGACGTATCAAAAATTCCTTTAGCACGGTAGTTAAATTAATCCTTGATTGCTTTGGCGCAGTCATACCCTAGAGGATCAAATATTTAACATTATTAGTTGGTCTGGCCTGCCACTAACGCGTAATGGAAGTCCCTGCGAAATTAATTTGGCCCCCGAGTGTGAATCGTCTATAACGGCAAATTAATAATTTAAACAGCGGCGTTCAGAGCAACTGCGTTAATAAAATTCGCTTAAAACATCCTCCGGGCGAGAGGGAAAAAAATGAAACGGTGCGAGTAATAAACAAGTTGCGTAAATAACAGCGTTACACTAACAAGATACGAGAAAATTCGGGTAATAGCCTCGTTCGTCAGACTTAAATTTTTACAGCCGAATTTCCGGTCACTAAATTCAACGCGTGTACTTGTTCGTCGGTAGAAATAAGAGGAAGGTTGGAGACGGTTCTTTTTCGTCTTTCTGTATGTTGAAAATCATTTTCTCCCGCTCGAACGTTCTCATTAACTGAGCGTGTGATCAAGTCGAGGTAAAAGAAGAGTAATCACGGCATTATTGCGCCCGTTCGAAGTGACACATTCGCAAACCGTCGCGCGATCTCCTTCACCTTCGATTCATCGACGAATCCACGTGAGCTGCCGCGCGTTTCCCCTTCAGCCCCTCTCCCTTTACCTTGCTCCACCTCGGCATTGATGTGAATGGTCCTCAGTCTGAGCTCCTCGTTCTCGTAAATCATCCCCCTCGAGGACTTCCGGTCGAGTTTTCTATTTGGCTTGACGCTGACGTCCCGCCGCCTGGTTCTCAGCATCCCGACACCGCCGACACCGCCCACCCCCGACCCCGCCATCATCCTTTTCCACTCGTGCCACTTGTCTTCTTCCTTCTCCGCGAACGGTATGGCGTGGTGTATCACAAAGAGCGGATCGCGACGAGTGACCGATTGTCCGCGACGATCGGCTGCGCCTTGCGCGCGGCCTCTCGAGAGGAGGGCAACACGCGACTCCCTTGCACCCTCCCTTCTCTCGAGAAACTTTCGCGAGATGTACTCCCGTTCCTCGTAACTATTTGATCCTCCGTTTGATCTTCGGCGAAGAAAGTTCGGAGCGCGAAGCTTTCGCGCTCGCCAGACCTGGCGAGCGCAACTACGACTTGACCACTCGACGTTCTTTCGATATCGCGCAGGCAAATCCGAAGATTCGTTCCCGAAGTGTTTATCTTGATTCTTTATACGTTACGAAATATATCACTCCGAAGCATTCGCACTTTCTTCGGATGGCTTAGTCCGTGATGGCTCTCACCATAATCACCTTTCTACCATTTCATGATGGCTTAAGGAATTTTGTACTATTATTCGTATACTAATCCGCAAAATTGTATCGTCCGAAGACGTCTTTGACGCTACTTTTTTCTTTATGTCGTTACAAAATCTGGTACCGAATTCTCTTCTCTGTTAGACGTTTATGATAATCATTTCCAGCCAGCTGTATATCTTAGTCTCGTATCAACCAGTTCGATAAGAGAAAATTAACATTATATTGTATTTATAGCATTATAATAACTCCGCGCACCGAAAGGATTAAAGGTGCGCGCTCGCGCCGATACGCCGGATCTCGAGAGCTACGCGGCGCGAAGCCACTTCCTCCGTTTAAAGCCGAGCGTATGTTCCTCGAATAATCGCACAGTCACTTCGTCGGCGACGAGTCTGCGTCAATCCCGGGAACAAACCCCGGGAAGCGAGGTGTAATTGATGCCGGGGAGACCGAATAGACACCTTACTTGCCGAGTCACTCCCTATTGTGCAGACTATACACGCCGGTTTGTAGTACCGCCAAGTTTGTACACGCCGACTCGCGATGTCGCGCAGTCTACGCAGACCTGATATCACCGCCGCGCTGTTGCAACGCGGGACCGGGGTTAAAAGCCATCGAGTTGCCGCGGAGTAATCCGTCGAAAATTCCGTATACGTTCGTAACGCGCTGTTGTATCCCGCGGATTATATACCTTGGGTCCGTAGCGAGCACAGAGCGCCGGGGAGCCATCGACGCCGGCGAGCAACGTAATCTGCCTATGATCTCCGTTGTGTTGATACACGTCGTTGTATTAACTTAGCGCGGATCCTCCACCAGGCAGTACTAATTGGCTAATTCCCCCGGGATTACGTGTCTCCTCTCGGGCCGTCACGGAGACGACGAAGGACGGTCGACTTGCTTCGTGGACCTGTCCTCGGTCCACGCGGTCGCGGTAAATCGTTTAGACGGAGTTACAGTATCCGGCAATACCGGTCGCCGCGTCGCCCTCGCGGCCAGAAGAATTTGCATCGGGCACTCATTTCTCACGCGGTATTCCTCGCACGTAATTTGCGTCCCCATTACTCAGCGTTTATCAGCGTGCTCGGGCGACCACCTCTCGCACTTTCAAGCTCCGTTCTTCCGGGGTTTTTTTTTTACTTTTCCCTCTCCTTTCTCTTTCGCTTTCTGTTTCCCTTTCTTTTAATTTGTTTTGCACGTCCGCGCGGCACACGCGAGAGAATTTATCTCGTCGCCCGGCCGGATTTTCTGCAATCTTTCGGCCGGCTGCGACAGTCATCGGTCGACTACCGCGCGTCGTTATGAACGTCGAGATTCTCGCCCCTGGGACGCCGGCGATTATTCACGGGGGACTTAAAGTTGCCGCCTGAACTTCTAGTATCTAGCCTTTTTTCCGGTGGAATATGCGCGTCCGTGGGATGCGCAAAAACTACCCTCGCGAGAACGACATGAGTGGTCGCGATACGCAATGCCCCGCAGTTGTTACGTGGCCGATTATCCACGATGACACGATGTCCTCATCGCTCGAAGACTCGCTGATCCTTAAAAAAAAAATACGTTCAAGTTAGAAGGAAAGTGACGAAACGGTTGCCGCGATAAAATATTGTCAGAACGAGGTACTTGTGCGACAAATAGTCGACTTCGTGAATTACACTGCGTTTTTTTCTCGGTGGATTCTATGCATCCTCTGACCTTTTGTTGTCGAATGAAGTTTCCAAGTGATCGCTCCTATCGTTCCTATCGCCGGTGATCTGAAAAAGAATGTCTGTGTTAGAAATCATGTGACGTAATCGTATAATAATTAATTAATGTGGCTTCTGCAGGAAGGAACGGTTAGTATGAGTGCTTTGGTGGGGCTCCTTTTATTTTTGTAATTTTATATGACTTTCATAAAAAATATTATTCAATGTATTATCGAGCAAACGCATTGATATGCTAGGTTATATACGCGCATTTAAAAACATATTTGAAAATATGTTGTCGAGTCTCAAAGGGCTGTCAAATCTCCTCGAAATTGTATCTTTTGACTTTACTAATAAGCCTGCAGAGGTCGGTGACCTCATATATTTAATAGCGCATTTGAAGCCTCGCAACATTTATTGTGTTCATCTCGGTTTTTTTCTGTTAAGATCTACTTTCTCCATAAAACAATATTAACCCTCAAAGTACTTCTGCGAGCGATCGGCCCGTAATCCTATCCCAGTGAACACCACACAAGTAACAGTTACATAACATTAATATTATAATTTCGTACTCAACAAGATAAATGTAACATAACATGTATATAACGTGTTATATTACACCCAGGTTATATTACATTTATCTTGCTGGGTAGGAAATTAGAATATTGATGTTATGTAACTATACTTGATGTTTACTGGGATGTTAAAAAGTACAACTTTAATATTTTGTTCGTTCCTTTATTTCATCGACGACACTGAAATTTCGCGTACTGATAGATAAAATTTACAACTACAACGTACTTAAATTTCCATGCAGGAGCCTTAAATACTACGCAGATTAAATTTTTTTGCAATGAAAATGTATTTAGAACAATTGTGAATACCTCATTGTTTCCAAGTAACCCATAATTTGATTTTTATCAGATACAAACTGCTTCACTGGTTACAAAAATAGAATATTTGCTCTTAAATAGAAATTGATAAAACGCAAAAATAGCCCATTTTACCTAAACATCGTTGTAAGAACTGTCGCAAATGAAGGTTTTATTCGCTGAGTGAGGTTTCGGTCGCGAAAGAAGTCACGAAGGATACTTGAGTGAAGGAAGTCTTGCAGGATATTGTACGTGATTTAAAACCTTCTCGACAGCTTCGCTTAGAGGATTGCTTCACGTGTCGTAGAACGCGGAGTATTCGATGCGCGTGTTCGAGCAAATGCGCGGAATGGCAAAACATTCCGCTCTTCTTGTGAAGAAGGAAGCAAGTAGTATCCGCTTTGAAAGACACTTTTTTTCGCGATGTTGCTCTCTTAGCGTTTTTCTATTTTTTTTTTCATTCTGAGCTCGCTCTTCTTAGGACACTCAAAGTCTAGGAAATGACATCAAAGAGGATAGTGTAGTAAGGCAGGTGCGTATCCTTGATCCTCTTGTTGTTTTGCTCCGAGAGCACACATAAAGTGCGACAAAGAGAGAGCAACAAGGAGAGATAAATTTAAAAGACGAGTAGAAATTTATCATATTCTAGAGAAAATTGATTTGAATATGTGAAGCTTCTACTGTCAAAAGTAAAAATATAATGAAACCCTTCCATAAAAAAGAAAAATTAAAGGTTTGTTGGAACATAAAGTGAACATTTGATAGCGAGAAATGCAAGTGCTAGTCTAAATCTGATAAAGTTTTAATATTTTTCTGAATTTGGATCCTCGTGAACCGAAAGGGAAAATAGAAACTGTGCCATAGAGTCCGAAATACCGCGAATATATTAAAAATATTGAATACAGAAGAAACAAAGCTTCCTCTGCGAGGAAGCAATAGGAGGGTAAAAAGAAGGAGAAACTTTGCTCATACATTTCTCTTTCATTTAGCTAGCTTTTTGTGATGATCTTAATTACTGTATAAATACGAATCTCGTCGTGTTTGCATTAGAAACTTGCAATTATCTCTGGGTTACCTCATGCGATAATTAGAAAAAGAGCGAGAACTTTACGTTTCGTCATACGTCTGCGGACTTTCTTGATGAAGTTGATCCTTTAATTAACGTCGACGGAAAATGATAAAAAAGGTAAATGACCAACTTTTCTCTCGCTGGGATATCACACTGGAAGAGGTAAAGTCGCGTAAAAACGTATAAATATACGGAAACCGCGAAATCTGAGTAGTAGAAATAGTATTTTATGAAAGAAGGATAAGACTATATACGCGTGTTTAAAGCAAATATTCGATTTGAACGCACTCCAAGTAGCAGGTGAGGCATGATTCATGGTTCATGTCTAGCGCGAAAATTAACGTTGTATTCGCCGACGAAAATTATTTACGAAACGTATTACATATCGAGGAATCTATATAAAGAAAATTAATTTCTGTTTCCATTTAACATTGCATGAAAATGATTAAGCAAATTCTCACGATATATTTTGCAGCAATCTAAAATATCGACAGACGTCAATTTAACTTCGATTAAATTATTATTTATGCTATCGATTATGTCGACGGACGAAAATAGAATTAGATGCACATTTTGAGATTTTCTGTGTCTATTACCGTCCATTTCTATTGATAAATTATTATCGCTATTTATTCGACAGAATCAAAATTGATCCATTTAGCCGCGGTTATCGAGAATCGATTATACTATTCATCGTTCGCTGCAAACAGGTAAATCCCGCTTAAATAAACTTATTTTATTTATCAGTAATTTTGACTGGTACGGATGATTAATGATTTTCTCAGGAGCGCAGCGCCAGATGATACCGCTATTTATAAACAAACGCGTCGCGTGCAAAGCGCCGGCGTACTTAGCTTTTGCAAAATAAAATATGAAACGCTCTGTCGCGGCGAGTTGTTCGCGCGCTCGCGAATCTAACGAGTTAGGACACGAGGCCTTTGATGCGAAACCCACGGGATGTAAGAGAGACCAGAAGTTTACATCGTGCAACAATTACGCTCTTTTAAGCGTGACGACGCGACAGAATTGCGGGGGCGATGTGTCTTCTTTGTAACGTGAATTTCAGCAGTACGAAAGTTTTCGCGCTGCCGGGCAAAAACTTAAGGCTCGTTAAGAGGCGCGCATTTGCATGACATTTATCACAACTCCTGTGAGGACCTTTAAGATACGTGCCAGCGCGACCGGATAAAGCCGGAAGGATTAATGAGGACGTCTTTCTCCCGTCGTCTCCGTTGCCACGCTCGCACTTCGCACGGTGTTAAGACGAAATATATATTCGCCCGGCTCTTAACTCTTTGGTACTTTGGCGTCATCTCTTCGCCGATGTTGTTGCTCTCTTAATGCCTCGCGGGAGAATATCAGTCGCCAGATATGCATAATAGACGTAAACCTTATTATGCAACTATCTTCCGATTTATTGCTTGGAAGGGGGGAATTGAATTTTATCGAAGGAAAGCAAGGGCGATTTCGAACATTTCAATAAAATATTTCGGATATACAGAAATATATGAGATATTAGTGCAAACTGACGAGATATAAATTTTGCGTGTACAATGCGAATGTAATATGTTATTATTTTATTGTTCGCGGCAGTTTTTCGCATCTCTCTTTACTTGCGATTAGAATAGACTTGATCTCACTCGTGAAGTGCTTTTTTCGGAAGCTCGCTCTCATGTGCGTGAAGTGCTGTACTACCTATTGGCCACCTGGTGGCCGTGTAATTTTAACGATTTCCGGTCTTGTTCGACGGATACGCGTTTAACAGCCCGCGTATTACGCGCATATTAATATACCAATATAATCCACGCCGTAAACCAGATGTGGGTCTCGACATGTAATACGATGTTAATACCAAATAATCGAAAACCGCGATTTTTAGTACGTATCCAAATAGTTAAATTATAATTACTACGCGCCGGATGTGGCGCTGCTGCACTGTCATTTCAATTTATGTGTCTCGATCGGAATATATTATAATGTAATACATCTCGATTCAAAACAAGTCAAGTTACGAAAAATATCGACTGACCTCTTTCGCAGGGTTGTATCTCGATTTCGCACAATTTCCGGTTTTTCTGTTTAAACGCTCATTCCGTCCCTAACGAAAATTGCGTAAAATCGAGATGGAACCTTGCGAAAGAGAGTCGATATTTTCTTTCCATACGCGGAAAAAAATGCTGTTGATTAAAGCAAAATGAAGTCGCTTGAATTAAACGTTAACGTCACGGGCTGCCACAAACATAAATCATTCACTCAATTGCATTTGCTATGGATTTTAATTTTAAGCATTGAACTAAATATCCAGATTATTAAGACAACAATCTGATGTTTTTCATTTATTAATACTGATGTTGTTTCAACGATTTCATTTCAATTACAGTGATCTTTTGATACAATATCATTCTTGTTTCCGTGTGTGAAAGGAAGCAATTACTTCACCCTTCATTGATTTCTCTCAAATGTTACTTGTCGAAATCTCTTTCTAAATCAAGAAAATTAATTGGGGGATTTGCACAACTTTTTTTTTGTGCGCGTCACTTAACACGTTTCAGGACTTGGACTTTTCGTATCCAACTCACGCAACGGCGATGCCGCGTGCAAAACCGGTCGGGCCTTCCCTCGCAAGCGTATTTGCGTGGCGTGAAACGTAAGCGGTACAGCGGCCGTGACGCCTCGTGCGAAAATCGAATTTGCACCGTGAAGTGCGAGATCGGGACGTTATCGGCCAGCCGGTGTGTGCACAATTTTAACGATTTCCGGACGGGTTACTTTCGGCGTAACGCGACGTTACGCTTGAAGGTCGACGCGAGCCAGACCCCCCGCGATTCAAAACCTCGATCCGAATGATCGGCCGCGTTGGAACGGAATCGATGACGGAGCGTGTTATTATTAAGCGAAGCGATGACGGCTTCCCGATCGCGAAATGATCGCGCCGTCGACGTCTGCCGCGCTTTACCGTACCACGTTAAAGGGAATCTTCTCATTTACAAATACATTGCCGCGCTGTTCAAAACAGAAGCTAAAGCGAAACCTCCGCTTTATTTGTTCTCCATAATGGGCATACGTAATGGTACGCTAATTCTAGAAGAATTGCTATTTCTAGAAGAAATTTAAGACATCGAAGTTGG